TAAATACCACCAAAAGAAAGCTCTATCTGTCCCCAAAAAATGGTATAAAATTCATTTCAGTACAGCGTTGCATGACGGAATAAACGTCAGTCAAAGTACCGCAGCGCTGAATACTGAAAAATGGCCTGGCCAGGAAGGGGGTCTAAACACCTGGTCTTCAAGCGGTTAAGGAGCACATTGTTGGGATACCCTTTAAGGAGGGCACTATTGGGAATACCCTTTAAGGAGTGCACCATTGGGGATACCCATTAAGGAGTGCACCATTGGGGATACCCATTAAGGAGTGCACCATTGACGGATACCCATTAAGGAGAGCACCATTGGGGATACCCATTAAGGAGAGCACCATTGGGGATACCCATTAAGGAGAGCACCATTGGGATACCCTTTAAAGGAGCACACCATGGTTTCTGACTTGCTCACACTGAATGTGTTGCCATCCATTTTGCAGCAGTTTCCAGCGCAGACAAAATAGGTTGACATGGAAGAATCCATTGTAGGCAGGCCATTCATACGAAGGCATTTTGCTGTAGTGGGCTAGAAACAAGGTGTGGCCCATGCGTTTTCGTTCTTTACCCTGTATTTTGCCAAGAAATGTAATGAGGTTGGGTCCTGCAAGAACACAACATGCACCTTTTTATACTGAGTGGTAATGCCCATTACGGGCAAATGTGGACAGTCATTATACAAGGTTGTTGGAACCCTTCCTATATCGTGCTGCAGTTGTTCGTCTTGCCAAGTGCTGTGCAAAGACTGAAACAGCCAGGGGCATGTGGAGTTCAAGGACCCTTATAAGGACTTCTGTCCTGTCCACATGTCGGGGAGTGGGATACAGGTGACCGCTTGCCCTAACTCATGCATGCCTTGCTTACAAGCCCTTGAAGCTTGCAATTAAAGTAGAGGTACACCCTCTCAAAAGAATACTTACTTTTATAGAGCTCTTTGAATAGAAGAAATGCATAGCATATATCTGTTTTTAAGAATACAATTTTCCCTTTGCTTTTTCATGCTTTTACATTTGTGGACTCTTGAATGATACTTCCTTTGAACACGAGTGCTCTTCAACAGTGTCTAGATGTGATACTTTCGCTAAGATTACTATAGAGGAATGCACCATCACGCATTTGCACAACTTCTTGTAGTCCAATTGTGGCATTGCGTGGCATACCACTGTGTTATGTGGCCTCAAAGTGACCCAGGATTCTCAGCCAGAGGGGCTGAGTGGCTCCAGGAAGAAAGTACATGCACCAGGAGAGAACTGCCTTTTCGGTCCTGTCCTTGTTTTCGGGATCCTGGTTGGGATCCTGGATCCTGGAGCCAGGAGATTTCTTAGAGCTCTGGGTGGGAAGAAATCTCCAGTCCTGGGTCCGTGGTTTAGTAGTGACCAGCACCTGATTGTGCACCTGTGCAAATCCCTCAAGAAGAGTGTGCTGGAATGTGTTCAGGGCCCCACCTGTGAATCAGGAGAACTTCACCCAGGAGTCAGTGGAGGCCAGTGCAGCAGGGAGCTGCGGGTGTGTGAAACCTATGGTGCAGGTTGGCACGTTACTGAGAGTTGTCTGGGGGAACCAGACAGTGGCCTGAGGACTAAGGCTGAAGCGGCGGTGCTGACAAAGGCAGAGCTAGGAGGCTGGATATGCATGTATTCCTGTGAGGGTAATCACATTGTATAAATAATTTTCATGTCAATAAAAGTGGGCAAGGAAGCCCTTAAAGAAACCTGTGCGAGTGCTCTGTGAGCTCCCCAACATTACACAACTCAGACAATACTGAAGCTGAATTGAGTAGGCGTTGTCACCCTAGGAAAGGAAGTACCTGTGGTTACACGTTGCTCTTAGGGACGCCAGAAATTATTTAATTAAAAAAGCGGAAACTATGAAGGAAATATAAAATGTTCAAGATTACAGAAAGCTGTGTGAAATATATTTGGTTTAAGCATTTGGGGTTTAGATACACTTGGGGATAAAGGGGCTACAACGAAAGATCTCCACAAGTTTTTACTTGGATCTAAAAATGATTCATCTGAAGTGTATCGCTCCTTTCTGCAGCTCTACCTATGAAAACTATAGAGGTATTTTTTCTTCAGTACATCTTACTTTACACCCACATACATGTATGCACAATAGGAAAACGTTGCTACTTGTGTATTTCAGCCTTATGAGGGCTTTATTCTGTTATGTATGTTGAGTACAGCAGCCAAGCTCATCCTTTGTCTCCGGATTTTATAGAGTTAGTGTTATTCTTGTGAAGAAGTGTTCCCATCTGCTCACTAACCTTGACATTCCAGAACAGAGATAAATGATGGCTTTTAATTAGAATATTCCTTCTTGGAGGTACAGACTATGCTGTGTTATCTCTATGAATAGAGACATTTCAGGGCGTAGAATAATTGGGTGTTAGTCGTGACTGCATCAAGAATGCTGTGGGAATAGTCTGATACGAATGTGTGTGCCTTGGACGCCTTGCAGGGTGCACAAAGAGGATTAGTTGAAGAGTTGTGAGGGCTAAGGTGAATGGGGAACACTGGGGCCTATATCCCACCAAATTACAGAAACTCTGACAGTATCTTGTGTTGTAAAACTCATTTATACAGCGCTGACATGTTTTAACAGTTCTTTACACGTGTAAACCAGGGCTGGACGAATCCAAGGAGCCAGGTCGCCAATGCTCCCTAAAATGACAGCTGGCTCCTAACTGTGGAGGTTTTCTTTAGTTGTTGCCAATGGAGATGGCTCTTACATAAAACCCTGATGACTCCTTGATTGGACAGACTGGCTCTGAACTCCATATTCATTTGTGCACCCCTATTGTAAACTGGTGCCAAATGTTCCTGCGGAACCTGTCTTCTGTCCTTACCACAGGTGTATATTTACATGCCGAGAATGGCGAGTTTTGTTGTCAACAGTAGGCTAGAAACAGAGTAGCTCCTTACACCTGGGCTGCTAGTACCGGGGACCCTGGAAAGGCATACCTAGCCATATCCAGATGCCCTCTCTGTCATCTAAAGTAAAATGTGCTGGTAAATGCCTTCTCCTGGAGGGACATACTAGGCAAGGTGAAAGTATATATAGGAACTGGGGGGTTAGGTGGGATAGAGGGCTTATAATTGTGTTATTAAACCCTATTTTTAAAAAAATCTTAGTGTTGCAGACATCAGAAGCCATTTTTGCATGTCAGTTTTCCCTTTTTAAGCATTGGTTTGCTCTGATATCCTGGCCACCAAATGTCCCCTTGCCTGGGTCCCGTTATCTGGTGGCCCTGTCCACTTACATGGTGCCATGGAACGACCTTTTGTGTGCACGCTCCCGACGCGGATTCTCTAGCATTCGTTCAAACATACAGTCCCCGCCCCAGGCCCCCTCCCTTTTCTCCCTCTTCCAAGCAAATGACTCCCAACAGCTTGAGCCTGTGCCATGAGTAGTGCACTGTGCGTATAAAGGGCAAAGGGCACACTCTTCCCTACCCAGAAGTTGGGAAAATCAGTGTTGTGGGACCTGGAGCTGCGGTGGTGAATGGTAAAGAATGCGAGTGTTTCTGCAGGCTTGAAAAATAGTACTGGGGAAAAATGAATTGTTTTTTTTTTTTTTAGAATGCGTATATTTAAAAGTGGATCGTTTAGTACTACTTCAAGTCATTTTGTGTGGGGCTTTCACATTGCGTGTTTGCTGTTCCATATTTTTGTCATTGCGTCAAAAGAATTCAGTAATTCAGTATTTTACTGCAATTACTTGGTCTCCGCTTTTGGGAGTCTGTGGGCTTTTGGCAGTCTGTGGGCTTTTGGCAGTCTGTGGGCTTTTGGCAGTCTGTGGGCTTTTGGCAGTCTGTGGGCTTTTGGCAGTCTGTGGGGCTGTGGGAGCTTGTAGGCTTTTGGAGCCTTATATGCCTTTAATACTCCCAACAGTGAAACCTCTGTGCCATAATTCCTGACTACTGCTCTCCATCTGGGAGCTTTGTGTGTCCCAGCCTACCTTTTCTCATTCCCAATCTTCCTGTTACTTTTCCCAAAATATCAAATAATTAAAAAATCCAGCAGGCAGAGACCCCTCATAACGGCCTTAGCAGGTGTTCAGATGCAGAAACTAGAGTACAGAGATCTCGTCAGTGGAGGCCTTGATAGGTAAGAAACTGCCGTGTGGTGTGACTATCCAGTACTTGGCAAAAGTGAAGTTTCAGACTTTGGTTGACCCTTTAAAAATCGTTGAGATCAGATACAGTATATATGTGTGTGTGTGTGTATATATATATATAT